CAGTCTAAAATCGTCATAAAATACAAGGTGTCTGATAAGAAATTTTTAAGTTAAATATTGAAAATATCAGACTTTAAAGGAAGAGATTTCATATTTTTGAATGTCATAAGATAGTAGTTGAAATTCCCCATATAATGTTTTCTCTAAATCGAATATTTTCTGAGATTGCAAAGGTGGTACATTTAAGTTCTTCACCCTGTATATTCGCAGAATACTAAAGAAACTGCGTCTTTTCAAGTATTTTATTGGGATTTAATCTCATTGATGCGTTGTATACTGTGCCAAATGTTATTTTTGTATTATTTATCTAATCTTAGGCCATGTAAGGAATATTCAAATAGCTTAAATACCTTAACATAGATAGGCCTATACTGTTTAACTTGCGATTATGTGATTTTGGACTCAAAATGTGCGTTTTCTTTTGCCGAACAAGATGGTAAAATTAATTTTCACAATTTACAGTTGTAACTGGAGTTATAAACATTTATCGACATGGTTATGACTCATAGGAACGGCCACGGCGGGAATTCCAGGAACTGACCCTACTGGTGGCAAATGACACTGGTGGCGAACGACACTGGTGGCAAATAGTAGGACACCGTTTAAAATATGTTCAGAATCTCAAGGGTAAAACTTATCCGTTCTTATCTTTATCTTACCCCAGCTTGGAAACATTAATTTATATTTACAGAAAACAGGGTTTATGGTATTTTCAACATATTTTTATTGATTAAAACGTAATTGATAATAATACTTCAATTTTCATGGCAGGACTGTCTGTTTTGTTCCGTTTAAAAACAAATACTTAAAATCTATCAATAGTTTTTCGTACAAAAATTATACATATAAAAAGCTTATTCTTGTAACAGCTTAAGCTGTAACTTTAGGTAATTCTTCTCTAGTCGATAGGTTATAGTGCTCGCCTTCAAATCTGAAGGTTACTGGTTCGAATTCAAACGAGACCATTAGTGGAAGTAGATGATATTTGCCTTTGGGTTATCAAAATGAATTATGCTATCTAAGAAATATCGCCAGATAGTAGGGGAGACTACGGTTTGGATTGTTCCCTTTTCAAAACGTAAAAAAATGCCATTGGTGTAGACGAGGTAAATTGAAAAAAATTAAACTTATAAAATAATGTTGCTGATCTTAAAACAATATTCTGTAACAGTGTTTAGCAGTGAAAACACATCTTTTATCAACACTCAAGAAATCACAGGGTGTCATCTTTTACCGGATGTTGTGAGAATGGGGATTAACCTTTGAAACACCCTTACCCTTGAAGGAAACTATTTGTCTTGGGAAATAGATATTTTGTTAAACCACATCACGGCACCTCGCCAATCTTCCAATTTCCTCAAAATCTGAAGAAGGAACGTTTTGACAACCTCGATAAAAATTGAGAGTAAATAATATGTTGTAAAATCAAGAATCACAGTTTTGAAAGTGTTTAAGTGGCTATGATAAGATATTATTTCAATAGTTCTTTTGATTGCAGTTTAAAATTAACTAATTATCACCTAACTTTCTGTTAACTTATATATTCCAAATTTTGTTTTTATTTACTCTCTTTACTGTGCAGGAACCATGTGGAATATTTGATCTTTTATTATGACTTATGACTCATCTAAATAACTAGATAACTAGATAACTAGACATATCCTAGATACTACATATCCTAGACATATCCTAGACATAACCTAGGTAACTAGATAACTTCTAAAAGTTATCTTCCACTGGGATGGATAAATTAAGTCAAGTTTGAACATGAATGAATTCACGAATCTATATTCTGTGGTTTGTAAACATTAAATAATGATCTTCCCACAAGGCTTAAAAGGTGCTGTTTCTTTATAAGATTTAAAATATTGAATATTTATATAGGTACATACATGAGGCAAGATACACCAATAAAGAAATATGTGCAATAAGAGAACACTCTTTTTCTACAAAACCCCTATATAGGTAACAAAAATAATGATTTATTATACTTAAAAACTAATAATGAATAGGGTTTCCCTAAAATGTATTCAATGTCTCAATTTATTTAAATAACACCATTGGATACTGAAGATAGTCTGTTGTAAATAGTCAAAGATAACACCAACAAATCAAATAAGACAAACCATTGCAGTCTAATGTTATCTATGAATAAAAATTGTGCCTATACATTATAGGAGTCAATAGCAAGGAACCTATAAAAACTATTTGTAATACTTTTATTCCCTATATTATAATCCAATGCTTGTATAATTATTGGATTTTTAGCACTTTCCATAGGCCTAACTCATATTTTACAAGTTGACCTTATTTGAATACAAGGAGTCTAATAGAATATTTTAAAACTTATACTGTTAACAACCAAGCAAAATATAACAGAGTTAATAAGAATGTTAATTAACAGTAGTCGTACCTTAAATTTTCTACTCGTGTCGTTAACACTATTTACGCGAGTTGCGTACACCACATTACATACGACAGTGTTTTAATTACTAAAAACCACTACTAATACTACTAAAAGAGGTTATGTTTTCGTTTACCTCTAATCGCCACTGAAAGTGATGCAACGAAACATTGTACCAAACACCACTTGCACCACTCAACAATTAAATTGGCCTGAACAGCTGATTAGTTGAATTTCAAATAATTATAATTTTACTTCTTCTCCCACATTATTTAACCTCATTGGTCCGTTACCCGTGTTGTTATGAAAAACTATCCTGTTATGAATCATGCTGGTTTGATACTTCAATTCTAAGAACTGAACTGAAACGGCTACAGGTAAAAATCATAACGTAGTAAACAAACATACAGTACTGTAATTGGATTTTAAACACAATATTTCAGTTATGATTTTTAAATACTTAAAGATTGAAAATATACTTGGATTTGCAGTGGTAAAATATAAAGTGTAGTAAATAACAATTTATTGTGTGATGGGTGAACAGTTTCCTCAGCCCAAGACAGCTGGTCACAGCAGGAGCCCAATAATGAGGATCTGTACAATAAAACTGCCACAACCTTAAACATCCCTTAGAGTTTATAAGGGTCATAATATCCATTCATTTTGTATATTTTATAATACATCTGCGCCCATTTTTTGTCAGATGATGTTTTGTTACGTAATTACCCCGTAAAATATTTTAATATACGTACTTTCTGTGAGAAACACAATAATTTTACTTAGCATATTTGTAAAACTATAGTTTTTAGCTTCTAATCCAGCTATGCTTATTTAGCTGTTTTAGTTCTGCATCAAAATGTATTAGGAAAAATCGTAAAAGTGCAGTGGTAAACAATAAGTGCTTTACCGATGAGTAAAAAATGAACCACTTTATTCCATTTTAAAATCTTCCCGCACACTAGGCTTTTTTAACAAAAATAGTTCAACCAAAACAGCTAAACCAAAATCGTTCAACCAAAACAGCTAAACCAAAATCGTTCAACCAAAACAGCTAAACCAAAATATAGTTCAAACAAAACAGCTACACCAAAATAGTTCAACCAAAATAGCTAAACCAACATATAGTTCAACCATAACAGCTGAACCAAAATAGTTCAACCAAAACAGTTAAACCAAAATAGACCAACCAAAACAGCTAAAAAAAATGGTTAAATTATCAATTAATAGTTGATTGTCAATAATTTGATGAAGTTAAATCTTGAATGGAATAAATAACCTATGTTGTGGCAAGCCTATTCGTAAAGTAAGAATGTCTTATGTATGTCACTTTATGTCTGAAGTTAAGAATGTGTGACACAGTTATTTTACATTTAGCAAAGATCCAGGAGCAAGGACAAGTTGAAGTGTGTTTGTCTCGCAAGGTTTGTAGCCACTTGGAACACGGAGTAACGATACGAGAGGGTTGGAAGGGTAGGAAATCAACTACTTTCACACATTTCATTAAAAAGACAAAACAAAAAATACGAAAAAATGTGGGTATTGAGGGGCAGAGGATTTTTTTACTTGCAAGGGATGGATCATAACCTCTGTTGTATGTTACAGGGATGTCCTGCTCAGTGTCCTTGTGGTCCCTGGTCCTGTGTTGCTTCCTCACAGTCACAGGAGGGATGGGTACAGAGGAGGAGGTTCAGCAGGTCCCAGCTCAGGATGCTCTAGGTCTCCTGGTCTCTCTCTATAGATCATAACCTGTGTTGTATGTCACAGGGATGTCCTGCTCAGTGTCCTGGTGGTCCCTGGTCCTGTGTTGCTTCCTCACAGTCACAGGAGGGATGGGTACAGAGGAGGAGGTTCAGCAGGTCCCAGCTCAGGATGCTCTAGGTCTCCTGGTCTCTCTCTATAGATCATAACCTGTGTTGTATGTCACAGGGATGTCCTGCTCAGTGTCCTGGTGGTCCCTGGTCCTGTGTTGCTTCCTCACAGTCACAGGAGGGATGGGTACAGAGGAGGAGGTTCAGCAGGTCCCAGCTCAGGACGCTCTATGTCTCCTGGCCTCTCTCTATAGATCATAACCTGTGTTGTGTGTCACAGGGATGTCCTGCTCAGTGTCCTGGTGGTCCCTGGTCCTGTGTTGCTTCCTCACAGTCACAGGAGGGATGGGTACAGAGGAGGAGGTTCAGCAGGTCCCAGCTCAGGATGCTCTAGGTCTCCTGGTCTCTCTCTATAGATCATAACCTCTGTTGTATGTTACAGGAATGTCCTGCTCAGTGTCCTGGTGGTCCCTGGTCCTGTGTTGCTTCCTCACAGTCACAGGAGGGATGGGTACAGAGGAGGAGGTCCATCAGGTCCCAGCTCAGGACGCTCTAGGTCTCCTGGCCTCTCTCTATAGATCATAACCTCTGTTGTATGTTACAGGAATGTCCTGCTCAGTGTCCTGGTGGTCCCTGGTCCTGTGTTGCTTCCTCACAGTCACAGGAGGGATGGGTACAGAGGAGGAGGTTCAGCAGGTCCCAGCTCAGGACGCTCTAGGTCTCCTGGCCTCTCTCTATAGATCATAACCTCTGTTGTATGTTACAGGAATGTCCTGCTCAGTGTCCTGGTGGTCCCTGGTCCTGTGTTGCTTCCTCACAGTCACAGGAGGGATGGGTACAGAGGAGGAGGTTCAGCAGGTCCCAGCTCAGGACGCTCTAGGTCTCCTGGCCTCTCTCTATAGATCATAACCTCTGTTGTATGTTACAGGAATGTCCTGCTCAGTGTCCTGGTGGTCCCTGGTCCTGTGTTGCTTCCTCACAGTCACAGGAGGGATGGGTACAGAGGAGGAGGTTCAGCAGGTCCCAGCTCAGGACGCTCTAGGTCTCCTGGCTTCCCTCCAACAGGTAAAGTCCTTACAATGGTTTTAATTGGACAGCTTTTTAAGGGACAGTAAACGAAAACGCAACTCAATCTTTATCTTGGTTCTTATATTAAAAGATTATAAGATAACAAACCTTTACAACTTATTACTGTAAGGAACACAAAAAAGATAAAGGGTTGAAAATTGAAACATAAATTCAACAGTTTCTACTGTATGGCTTTTAAAAGGACAAAATCAGTCACAAGTTATAATATCAAAGTTCTTAATCATCTTTCTAAACCATTTAATCATTTAAAAGGATTATTCTATTTTTATTTTTATAAAAATGTAAAATGTAAAAAAAAACTCACCAAAGGTATATATTCCTCTTCCTTATCATGTAAATTCAAGAGGTAAAAATGGAACTGTAGCGTTGTAGAATTTGAAGGTTTGTTGACTGGTGGAAATATTGATTAGAATTTACGCTTGTCCTTAACGGATTGTTTCGACACCTTCTTTGGAAGTTAACTGAAACGAAATGATACGATTAACTGAAGAAGTTTTGACTCTAAGCTTCTGTAAATGATAGATTTTGTGTGATAAAATACCACATGTTTATTCAATGCCGAAATACTTATCACAGAGTATATTCTGCAGGCCAGTGAAGGGTCGAGTAACGAGTTACGGAGGATGGCAGACATGTACCAGATTCTACAGTTGGCAGCCCTGCAGCAACAACAACAACGGCAAAGACTACTAGAGTTAGAGGAGAGGGAGGAGGGCGAGGAACTACCCTTGGCCCTTCCTCTACAGGCAAAGATTGAAAAGGACGACTACCTCAAGGACAAGAGGGGCAGCTGTAAGTTATCATTATTTTTATGCTCTTTGGAATTGATTTTTCGTCTTACTTTAGCAAAAACAGATGTTTCCAAATACAGTTACAGTCTAAATTAGCTCCAGTCTAAAACCAGCTGTTTTAAACTTTGATTGTAAACAATCGTATGCATAGAAAAGAAAGGATGTATTGATTGATTTAATCGGTTAATGTTGTTGCATTAGCATTCTTGTCAATAGTTCGATATGTCATTATTGATGGTTTAATGTATACTGACGCAATCGTAATAGACAAAAATATTATTGAATCACTTTCTAAACAGCAGCTTGTTTGTATACAAAAATTGAAAACTAGTTAACACTCGTTTGATAGGTTTTGCGTACGTTATGTATTTTTGTTTTATAGCTTTATAACTCGTCACAGGGGCAAAAGGTGTCTTTTAAACCCTCGTTCAATAACCGAGGCGACAGGCGATGCCAAGGAACTTGAAGATTGAGACAAACCTAAGTGAAACTTGAGCTTGGGTCGAAATGAGTCACTTTACACCCTAGTGATGAAATATACTATAACGCCATACTGTAACAAAAACAGCTGATTCCAATACATGGGTTGCAGGTCTAAAGTAGCTCTTTCCCCCTAGGGCAAAATAAAGTACCAGCTGAAGTTGCAGACATCAGCTGTCCATTATTGTTGCTGAAACATTTGTCCAGTTATTTTCTAAAAGAAAATGTTCCTGATTAACAAATTTACTATACAGTTTTGTAAAAAAAAATTGTATTTATTCAATGTTGTGTTACATCGTTTTTGGACAAATTCAAATGTAAGAGAGTTTTAGTAATTAAACATATATTAATTATTGTGTTGACAAAGTAACACAAAAAATTGTTTTTAAATAATAAAGTACAAATTTAATAGCAGAAAAGAAGGCAAACCATTTAGGGAGCTACCTATTCATTATATTACTAAATAAGGTAAATACCATATGACAGTGGGATTAAACATTTCAGGGGCTACATTATGAATTTTAACTATCCTTTGTAGTATTTATTTGATTTTTCAACTGAAATAGTTTTATCGATGAAACTCATATTGACAATACTGTTTTATAATTCCATTATTTAAAATATTACATAATATAAAAGATTCTATAATTGAAAAGTTTCTGTACAAACCTCTCAGAACTTTTGTTTAAAGAAGTGCATTTTGCTGTGTCTTTGATGAATAAGTTTTGGAAACGCTGGAAGCAAAAGGCTTTAATTATCATCCTTTGATTTATTTTGTGTTTACATAAGTACTTACAGGTTACTTTAATTGTTTAAAGTTTTTTGAATTCGAAAAACTTTGTTAACATCAAAGATGTGTTTTATTGTTTGTAATTTATGTTAAGTAACAGTCCTCTAAAACGTATAACCCGTTTTTTGTCATACATTTAGTTTTCCTACAGTCACATGACAAAGTGGGCTTCCTTGCACTGATTATAGTACAGAAAGTTGCTAATTGATGCACTCTTTTTTGTCACACTCCAGTATTCCAACCAAACAACACAAAACAGCGTGCTTTTATTAGGCACGTAATACGTGTAGTGTAAGCTTGAAAATAAGTTGGCAACACTTAAATATACTATGACTACGATCAGCTGGTGCAGCGTTTCCCATTTCATTCAGCGCTTGAATTTAACCTAACCTAAAAACAAAAACGTGTTGTATAGTGTTTGAAAGACTAAGTATTTCTACGTTTTATAGTTAGTGTAGGAAAACTAGTGTAACGCGAGTGCAAATTGCATTTGTTGCACTCAAGAAACTTTCCAACAGTTATAAACATTTCTCTCGTGTGCAGCAAAGTGCCACTTCGCACTTTAGTCACACAAATAACTATTGCCAGTTAAGAGAATAACCTAAAAACCAATACAAGTTTTTGAACCAATGAAAAGGTTCCTGTAAATAAATAAATAAAGGAAATAAATAGGCTACTAGAAGAGTTAAAACAAGGTGAAATAATTTGTAAACATAACTAATCAAAATAGAGAAACGTGTGTGTGTTTGACATAAAAGGCTGACTGAAAAAATTCGGAAATAAGAAAAAGAACGCACATCTGTATATAGGCGAATATGCTAGTGCAGCTCATTTGGATATTTCATGCGCTAAACATAATAATGAAGACTTGAAACACTGTTAAGCATTCTGTAAAACATATGCAAATTATGTTTTAAATTGCCCAAATTTTGAAACACAATATTTTATTTTCCAGACATGTCACTGTGCCATTTCAAGATTTGCAACATGGGTCGCAAGAGGAACTCCTATTGGCGGAACTAAAAACTGCTCTGGTCATAAGTGAACTAATAAGTTGACAATTCCCTACAGCCAATTCCTTTGTATATAGAAGTATAATTATTTTTCCTATTCTTGAACTGTTGTTAAGAACAACAAAAACAATAAAAAAATTAGGGGTTTCAGTTAATTTTTGTTGTATATTTTCAAAAATGAGTGTGATATCCTCACTTAAATTATTATGATTATTACAGCCAAAGCTAATAGGTTTATGTATTAAATTGAATCATTATCAACAAATTTTAAAATTAATATTTGTCCCTAATATTATGTGTATGGAAATCTTTCTTCGACAACAATGCTAAATTAATACAGTATGATAATAGCTGCACTCTAGCGGTGCAAAACGAAACTACGTACAGCAACAGTAGTACCGAGTGTAACCGCTAGAGCGATTCAGTGATTTCAACAAATGGTAGTTATGTTTCCTAATAAATTAAAATAATTACAGACAGCTTTCGAGAAATAATATCCTCAGAAAGTGGTTAGTAATATGTTTTAAGTAGGTTTAAATAACTTTTAAAGTAATAGTAATTTGTTTAAGACAACAATATTGTAATTTACCGTTTGGTTCTCGCTTCGAAAACTGCATCCATGATTGGTTGGGTACCTTGAATTCACCCATCTTGACAACTTTGCGCAGTGGCAATATCGTAACCAAAGAAGTTCAACTGAGGTGCGATTATTGCTAATTGAAAACTTTTACCAATACCCCGCCATGGGGGCTTGAAATATAGCCCACATCGGCAATTTTTGGCAGCCTTTACGGGGGCTCATAAACCTCATCACTCAAACAAGCTAAGCCTTGAACTAAATGTTGATGTTGAGGGCACTCAATTCTTTATACGGTACTCAAATTATCATACTGTATTTATATACCTGATTGATGAAGAAGAAGTAAATACTACAATATGACTTAAATTGTATTACTTCATAATTATGTGTTAAATTTCCCACATCAGAGTATCCCAGATTGTGATTATCTATAAAAATTCTCAACATGAACCTTAATAAAATGTAATAAAATTCTGATGAGCTGAACACTTTAAAGTGGTGACATGCAGAAACGAGGAATTAGGCATCTTTTTAAATCATCTGCTTAATCATTTAAGGATAAAAATAAACACTCTTTTCTTTCTGCTGCAAATTGCACTGTAACAGTTCACAGTTTTACAATCAATATTGGAAACTTTTCTTTCAGTATTTTAGATATTTTTGTTGAAAATTTCGAGACGAACAGAAATCCTGACAATTTCTAAATAAGTCCAAACTACCCCAAATATCGGTGTCAAAACGAAGTGGTATTAATCCTGTATTTCTTTTTATCTATTCAATATTTTGTACTTAAGTAGCATAATTTGTAAATAAATGTTTGCTTTTTTTACTTATTTAAGACCTGTAGCTTAGAGGTTATGTTCCTTTGCATCAATGACTTAATATTTAGCAATTAATTGTTGTGCTCAAAATATTGTTACCGTTTTCTTAAATTTTTACTTATTCCTCCTATGGTTATATTATTTCTCTCATGTTTTGGTTTTGATAGGGCTTCATATTTAATTTGTATACAAAACTATAAGGTACAGTACCTGTTTTATTCATTAACAAATTTTCCTTAATGTTAGTCATAAGACAAGATTCTAAAAAGTAAATTTAAATTAAATCTTTAAGTTAAACTATTTTTTAGTTATTTTAGTATTTTCCCCATAGGAGAGCCCATTATGTTTAGTCTAGTATTTTGTAGTTATTGTGTATATAAAGTTTTTACGACATATTTAAACTTATTTATTTATTCATATTATAGGCTTACCTGTTGTATTTAAACTTTTACTTTTATTTATAAGGTTTTATTTATCAAGTTGTTTATAAGTTTGCAAGCCAGAAAGAGAGGCAAATGAGAAACCATTTGTATAGATTGTAATGTTGTGGCAAACATTGTTTATAAATAATAAAACTTTATCGTTTACTGGCGATTGCTTTTTTGTGACATTTTCCTCTAGACAAACACTAAATATGTTTCAGTCTATTATCTAGTTCCTCCCAAAAATCTTTTATTGAATACATAAATGAAATGTTTGTTGTTATCTTATAATAGTACTATACAAAAACTTTTATAACTTTACTAGTTGAATTAATTATTATGACTTAAACTTGATTATCTCACTCAAGTTCATCCAGCCCTACATCTTCAATCCAAATTTCATCAAAATCCGGCAAAGATTTACTTGAGTTACCCTCACGGAGATATATGTATACATTTTACCGAGTGTTTTTTTGCGTTTGGGGAAATCAAAATGAAAAAGTAAATTGGTCCCGGATCAAGAAGTTATTCAATTCTTTCCTGAAATATCATAGTTACTTCCACCGCTTACCCACGGTACCTACAGTAAAACAATTAAGAAAATTTACTTACCCAGCTGTTAAATAAATCTTACTTCAGTAGTGTCAAGATATTTTGCGTGTGTATATGTTGTTAGTTGAATATAAACAAACAACACATGGTTTAATTGTTTAAATTCAATACACTATATAAAATGCTGGTAATACATAAAGAGATCTCCATTTAAATAATCAATAAGTAGGGATTGAGCTTTGCCTATATATATGTTTCCTGAAAAGTGTGTTGTAACTGTTTCTTATAGTAGATTTAAAAAACCAAATTATTTTATTCTAAATCTTTTACCCCGTAGCAAAGCACGGGCAGAGCAACTAGTATATTTTATTTTGATGTTAACAAAAGACCAAATGAAATGTTAACACTATAATAAGGTACAGTAAAGTCTCAAGTCTGGAAAATAAGAAATTTAAAATATACGTCACAACACCCTTAACTGATTTGCATGAATGAATAACACCTGTTTCATTTTGTATCAGTTACTGGCACGGGGTTCATGATTTCAGTATGGAAATGGATTTTAACAGATTTTAATCCTAGAGAAAATTACAAGGGTTGTATTTAAATTTAACTTAAATCTCCACGGAGCTTCCTTCGCAGCCAAGCCAACTATTCCAAATCTGAGACAAATGTTACTCCCTGGTGTGGATTAACGTCCACACTAGTGAGTACTACGACTATCCGCAGTACTATCCTGATAATTAGACCAATTTTTCAATTACAAGGCAAAAATGTGGTTTGGATTCCACTATTAAATTCGTCCCTTAGTTGCCATTGTATTAGACCGGGCGCCACACGGGTGGATTATACACTGAAAATCTGACAAAGTTTGACTTTTGATTATTGTTGGGGACATCTAGTAGATGAAAAAAATCGATGATGTTGTCTACTCTAAAAAGGTTAATGATAGAAAGTTGGTTTAAGCGTCTATCTACGCCTAAATATATTGTCCTTCAAAAAGATCTACATCCTTTCTTCTATCTTATATTCTTTAGGCCCCAATCAACGATTCTTGCAAAAAAGTAAAATTTGAAACTACTTTAAATTGAAATGTTGAAAATATTGTACTCGTTTAAGACATTTTACAGAGGATTTCTGGTTGGAAAAACTAACAAGTACAACAACACCAAGTTTAAGGAAATATGTACAAAAACACCAGAGCTTTGTTGAATTCAGTAAGAGTAGGCGTGGGAAATTTGTAGTAGCTATCACAAAGTAAGTGTTATTAAAAAGTTCAAACAGAAATTCCAGGAAAACCCTATTCACACATCAGATTACAACCATACATCTACCACCAAATGTATACTTAAAAAATAAATGAGATTTTCTGTACTTATGAAAATAAGAATAAACAAGCAGAGGTTTTACCCGCATAATCACGGGTGTACAGAAGCCACCATTAAATTAATTTAATGATTTTTGACTTTATATTTCGTTTGAAGGGTCCAAGTTCAAGAAATTCCTATCAGCAGAAGGAATGTTAAAAGCTGTAAACCTTCATACCTTACATTCTGAGGTGGCCAAGGTGGATACGGGTTGTACCTGAGCTCTCTTTCACGAAGTCCTGTAAAAGATCGGTGACAACCTCTTGGAACGACCAACAGACATGTATTGTTCATCTCATATTCATTGTCCTAACACCTTAAAGCACCCACTTGTATCAACAGCTAGTAATAGCATCAGTGTTAATTTACGCACGCCTTTTTAGAAAATAAAAGTAAATAATTTAAATAACTAAACAAAAGTGTAAACAAATAAACTATTGTCAATTGCATTGACCAGCTGTTGTTCACTAAATTAATTGAATAACGTAAACTTCTTAAACGTGTATGGCGTAGCCCTTTGGAAATCGGCCTGTGGGGCAGAGCCCTAATATAATTTGTTCACACCAATACTTTTCCGCAATTCCACACACTCTGAGCTTAATTTTGATGTACCATATATGCATATTATTTTATTTGGTTAAAGGACTTAACCATTTACATAAAATTTGATCGTATCACTTTAATAATATAATAGTTATGTATTTATTAATAGTTTATGTATTTATTATTAGTAGTTATAGTATATTTCACTACTAGTCCCAAAAGTGACTCATTTTCACATTTTGGGGCAAGATAGTGGTTTACAAGCGCGGCAAACAACTTTTGAGCCAAGGAATGGAATTTTTTGACGAGTAGAAGATTATACTTTTCATTACAAAGTACTTTTTTTGTTTTTGTATACAAAGTGATGAAAACGGGTTTTTGTATACAACCCATGAACTCGATTTTGAACGAGGAGTATTCAGATTTTCTAACAAACGATCTCACATCAATAATCGAGTTTAAAGAAACTCAATTAATGCACATTTCTCCAGAAACCAGTTTGTAAAGTGATTCCTTCAATAACAATTCCTCCAACTCTGCAGAGTGTTAATTAGTTAATAGCCAACTCAATTTAACTCTTTGTTAGAAGTTGTACGTCTTGTTTTTGGCTTCTTGGCGCAAGTTTGTTTGCAAATGTCACAAAGTTAGCTTTGCCTGTTGTTCACCTGAATGAGTTGGTTGAAATAATTGTTTATATAAGGTTTCAATTTCGTAAAGTTCCTATGCAATTTTTGGTGTAAGATTGTTTCTTGACATTTAAATATCTTTGGCAAAAAATAAATAATACCGTACTGTGTTCTAGAGGAAAGTTAAGAATGAAGTGTCTTTATAAATGTTGTCAGGTAAGTAGGTATGTAACAAATTGAAGTTGTCAGATAATTTTCTTGAACATCATTTTCAAAAACATGCATAGCATATGAACCATCCAGAGTTAGAATTATGAAATAAGCATTGCAACACTTGATGGAGTTTACTTTCAAAACTAACTTTATCTTATCAGACTGATGCAATAATAATGTTGGACTTATCTTTATATTAATTGTTTATGTTATTTACCCTGCATAGGAGCTGAGAGAGATTAGTAGCCTCTCTGCACATTTCAGTTACTTTTTCATTTATCAATTGACATTTCGGTTTGTAATATGGCTCCAAAATATAAGTTGATATATTTCCCTGTCAAAGGGCTAGCCGAGCCTATTAGATTCTTGTTTGCTTATTTGGGTGAAGACTTTGAAGATTACCGTTTTAACCGAGAGGACTGGCCAAGAATAAAACAAAGTAAGTTTATATTTACCATGAACTAGTACAGCAAATTGTTATGTTTGAATTTTAATCTTTTCATAAACTTTTCTTTTCATAAGTCAGTGTGATATAACATGTAGTTACAGCACATAGTTCTGAGGTTATCTTGATTGTTCAGCTACTCCGTGGGGTAAATCCCCCGTGCTGGAAGTGGATGGTAAGGCTGTGTCTCAGTCCATCGCTATCTGCCGCTACTTGGCCAAGGAGGCAGGACTGTGCGGAGCAGATCACTGGGAGGACCTCCGTATCGACGAGATCGTAGACTCCATCAATGATCTTCGAGCCGGTGAGTTCATGATCGTGGTACATTCAGTAGACCAATGGTAGTAAACTAACAAAAAATAATAATGGTGCCATTAGTTGAAGGCCAGACAGCTTGTGTATTTCATCACTTTTTTATGCATGTTCATTAATTTATTAGAGTATATGACTCAATGATCTAAATGTTTACGAGAATAGACATATTTTATTCACACAAAAAGGTACCTTGATGTGTTGTTATAAATTGACGATTGATTATTACAAACATGAAATAATAAGCAGCGGTCCAGTTGTCAGTGTTGCAAAAACAAGATAATTAAATTGGATTCAAGATTATTTATTTCCTTAAGGACATCATACGTCAGTTATAAAACATAAATTTTTAATACGATATACATGACTTACGCACATAATAGTATTTAAAAGTCAATGATATAATGTAAAAGTAAAACAGTTTCTTTGACTACACTGTATCAGGAAAAATGTCAGGTGACAAGTGATGAGTACTTAAGTTGAAACTCGCTCTGCACAGCTCACCAGGCCTTTCTGCATTCGCCAGTGATGTAGTTGTAAAATTTTCAGTGTGGAAACACACACCAATGTCGCAGAAAAATACGGTTTGCTTACCAATATATACTGTAGGTTTTTTTAAGCAGAGTGGGAAAACTGTTTCCACGCCTACCCCCTCACCATACCACTGGCATTCACACAAGTACTTAAAAACTAATTTATAATAGTTTTGGAATAGGCGTACGATATAATAATTCCAATCTGCATAATATTCCTAAAGTTGTACAGCTATAAACTGAATTGATGATATTTGACTTATTTTGTAGAAAATTAATTACATATTTTACTCTTTATCAGAATTGGCTAAGGTTGCCTACGAGTCAGATGAGAAGAGAAAAACAGCCTTGCGTGTCCCTCTGGTCAATGAGATTGTTCCATTCTACATGAGGAGACTCAATGACATTGTTAAGAACAATAACGGCTATCTAGCAAACAAGAAGGTACGTTTAGTCTTTTTTACCAAAATAATTATGAAAGTTTACAAGAAGTCCATTTTAATATGAATTACAAAGTAATAGACAATAGACCCAATATTTTATAACTACTTGCATATCCAGAAATTTAAAAGGGTTACCAAAAGCCATATCCCTTAACATTTAAGTTTTTCATGAGGATGAGTATGAGCTTTAATCAATCAGACCTTTTCCGTGTTGGATTAACGGGAGTGCAGCGCATTTTTAAATTTTAAAACTTTTTTCAACCAATTTTAATTTTTCATAAGTTTTTTGTGTGTTAGGTCTATTGAAACAAACGAATGCAATAAAAAGTGTGCAGGTGTTGTTGAAATATGCCCACTAAAATGTTTGTGTTTTATATGTTTTAGTTGTCATGGGCGGACCTGTACTTTGCTGCCATCCTCGACTATCTCAGTCACATCTATGGATCTGATTTGACATCTGGATATCCTTATCTGAAGGCGTTGAAAGACAAAGTCTATACAATACCCAGGATCAAGACGTGGATAGATCGCAGACCAGACACTGATCATTAACTGTCACCATAAAATGTATAAATTGTACAAAATAGCAAAATATTGTGAACTTGGAAACCATTATTCACTTCCTAGCTGTTGCTTATTAGCTTCGCCGAACATACGTTCAATTGGGCTTTTTTACTATGAATCCATCAAGTCGTGACTTTGCTATGGGCTAAATGACCTTTTGCAGTTATTTTCCATATATTAACACCTAAGCTTTAAACATATGGGACTACTGACGTCAAACTAAGGGAGAACTTTGTTTAAAAAATTAACGGCCTTCTACCAGGAGCTTCGAACTACTCTCTCTGGAACAACCTACATAATGTTTTTACTACCAAAAATACTATACCGGTTCTATCTCCTTTCACTAATAAAATAACTAAATTTACCAATGGTACAGTTGGTTTTCTCGTAACTTTATTGAGCAGTGTTAGATAGACTATCATCAAGTAGCATTAAGTAACATAAAATCCTTTTTGTGACATGTTCTCTGTCACTGCCTCAACAAGTTTCTGATTTATAGTGTTGATTTTTGTTGTTTCTTCTTATTCCTTGGGCTACCAATATACTACATTTGAATTGTTTTACCTGAGCTCATAGCAGGAAGTTCTGGGGAATTACTCTTGGCAAGCTGCAGCACATTTTTATAAGTTTTTGAAGAGACTGTAGAAAAAGGATGCCTCACATAATTAATTGGAAAAATATATAAATAGAAAAGTTTGTTTTGAGAAATTTGTAAGCACATCATTTTATCAGCTGTTAGTTAGTTATGATCAAAATCTGGTGAGAATTGGCTGAGTACAACGGTTTGCTATTCCCTGTATTAACTTTTAACTAAAAACCTCCATTTTACAAAAAAATTTACAACTTTTTAGCTAATGGTAAGTTAACAACTAATAGTAAAATCAAGTGTTACAATAAAAAATTTCCAATTTTTTTTGTTACAGGTTTTATTTGGTATGTATTTTGGAAGAAATAGCATGAGCAATAACTCCTAAAATGAAGTGTGTACATAAACCCTTTATAAAATATGATTTTAACCGGTTTTTATTGATTTCTGTATTTTTATTATGTAAAACACACTACTCCTTTTTAATTAAATAAAAAGTTTAGCAATCTTGGTTCAATGGGAACTGGCATTTTTTGAGGTGCAAACATGGCGTAAAAGTCAATTATCACAGTTTTGTCTTTTAACTGATTTTACCTAAAAACTGTTTGGATGGAAAAGAATTTTAAATAGCTTAATTCCACACAATCAATTTCCCATCAGATTCAAGATCCAAACATTGGTTCAGCTTATACAGACCAAAATATAAAGGCTTACATAGTAGAATTTCACCGGAAATCGCCTTACCCCCCTTAAATTTTGAATTTTGTAAAACCCCGTCTTATTGCAACCCCCTATGCAAAATTTTATCATTCTAGGTCGTATATTTTAGATATAAAAGTTACCCATCTGACAGTCGGTGGTATTTGTCTTTTATATGATGACTAGCTGTACCCGCGGGCTTTGCCCCGTTTAACTTCATATGTGAGCTCGTTCGCATGGCTCAATCACGTCCGAGTTGAAGTTCGTTCGCTACGCTCACTCACCTTTTGGTTGCAAATCAGCTGTTGTCATAAATTTAAAAAAATAATAGTGCTGCACTCTGTTGGTAATCCTTGTAACTTTAATGCTATTGAACATCACAGAACAGAACCAACTTGTTTAATTGAAACAGCTGTTATGATTCATTAATTCCATTTAAGTATGAGTACTCATTAGGTTAACATGGGAAACTCCAGAGCCACTGGGGCGGAGCCCGAGAGTCCGATCAGAATAAAAACCACTTAGTTTTCCTATTTAATGCCTAAAGAATCAGTGTACCAAATTTCAGCCTCCTAGGTAAGTGGGAGGTGGGAGAATTAGTGATGAGTGAGTGAGTCAGTCAGTCAGTCAGTCAGTCAGTGAGGGCTTTGCCTTTTATATATATAGATATTTATTAGTTGATTTTGATTGATCGACTTCAGCTCTAATACTGAGTCAAGGATCCTCCACCACAGGCGGGCCCACTGGGTTAATAGCGTAAAACTAGTAACTAGGTTGTAAACTACATAAGTAATTGTTGAATTGTTGGCTGATTTTTTTTGTCAGGATTAGCAGTGCCTCCGTCACAGAAAGCCTCCACTGGGAACGGTGTGGATATGGTCTACCTGATACCTCTTGAATAGTTTTCCAAACTTTCCTAGCATCTCCAGCTGCTTTTTCAATTTTATTGTAAATATTAAACTTTGTGTGTTAAATTAGCCCGATCGATACCCTGATCGAATTAGTGATCGATTTTGATTGGATTACAATCAAAATCGATCCCCACTTACCATCTTTTTTGTATATTTACCGTCTTGTGAGTAACAGTATATATATGTTTTAAGTGTTAAGGTTTTTTTTATCGGCCGTATGTGTGTGTGCACTTTGTGTTTGTGTTCGACGTTCGTCTATGTGTATATGTCAAAAACTTTTAATCCTGATGACCTTTATGTGGAGTAATCATCCTTGTCCTCCTGTGATGAAGACCTCTTAGCAGGTTGTAACTATTTGTGGAATACAAAAATTGGATTGCCAGGATCAGGTATTTAAACCATTATTATTAGTTATTCTTCGTAATCCGGAGGCTATTTATACTACAATGAAGCCTTGGTTAAGATTGTTGTTTGAACTAAAAATACTAAAACCCGGGATGCTTTCTAAATTATATTATTTTCAACCATGCTTCTTTTAGAACTATGGTAACGGGACACGACGTGATCGGGCGGGGGTTATGTCTAGACCCGCCCGATCACGTCGTGTCCCTTTACCGTATTGTATTATCCTTCGTTTTTAGCCCTAAATGTTTGTTTTTATGTTCATGTACGTGTGCGTGTTAAATGTATTTATTTATTATGAATTGACGACCTTCAAATGAAGCAAGAAGACATCTGTACTGGCCCGACGATGACTCCTTTGTGAGTCGAAACCGGTTGCAATTTAGCAACAAATTGATCACATAAATGCAGGTATTTACACCATTATTTAGTATTTAACTGTGATCAGGAGGCTAAAACTCAATATAATGAAAAAAAAAAACTATCAGACAAATCACAACCCTGGCCATGAGCCATGGATCATTTCAAGAAGGCTTTGACTAGTTATACTGACCGGTTTCTCCCTCTCCACCAGCTCTGCAATCTCCTCCTTGTGTTTCTTCTCTCTCTCTCTAAACACAAACATCAAACATGACCCGCTTCGGCTCCAACACTTGGTCCCGTGGCAATAGCTTGTAGCCAGCTGTCAGGCTCTGTGGCCAGTTCTGTACAAAAGAGAACATATACTGATATTTGAAAGTTTAGCAGGCCTAGCGCAAGTGGTAGCGAAAATAATTAATTTCATACAAACTTAACTTGGATTTGATAAGACTCAATGTTTTGTTTTCAGATGTAATTTTGAGTAGAGATGGTCAAAATCCCGAATCTCAAAACCTAAACGTGAAACCTTTTTTTTGCTTGGCTGGTTACAAAGGTTAAGGTTAAAGAAAACAATATAGGTAATAATAAAATCTTAAGTATGAAATCGAAACTGAAAGAGGACTCCTGACACTGACATAATACCATAAATATGTGACTGATAAACCCATACCAACATAATTTTTCTGAAATTAAAATAAATTAAACTCCTGACACCAACATAAACGTGAATATTAGTCTAAATAGAACATTTAGTGGCTAATATATCGTTATGAAACTGAGTTGTTCCAGTTATAGTATTTAAGATGCCTTTCTAAGTTCAGAATACAATTTACTGTGTTTGCTCTATTGCTACCAGCTAGTGTGGAAACAGTGTTAAAAATAATAATCATGATGCAAAAAAAATGTCAGTAGATTCAAGAATAAAACTGCCAAAATCTTCAATTTTGAAACTTGTGAATCTCTAAACTCGGTGATCAAATCTTGAAACCGAAACTTTTCCAAAGTTTTGATGGTTTTGAGATTTGAGATTCGGTTTTGACCTTCTGTACAATCGATAAAAAAAGTTTATTTCAAACTTGATATGAAAATTATCTCTTAACAAACTTTTACATTCACATTACTTATATTATATACTTAAAATCGTTTTTATCTTATATCATTTTGCATTGGCCTCATCCATTTGTGGTAATGTGTCTAACAAAGGGTTAAAAAGCTCATGTAATCATCTAAAGGTTGGTTTTTTAATGTTCTAAACCGACGAACTGACTGTGAAGACTTTAAAATTGTTTTGTACTTTTTCTTGTTTGACCCAACTGTTCTTGATTATTAACGCTATTGAACAAATTTAATAAAATAATCTATATAAATAAAATTAGAGTTTTGTCTGTACATTGCTCAGAATCATAAACTTTTAGGTTATTTTTACGTTTTATACATTAGAGAAACCGAAACAAGTCTCATCTAAATTTCTGTCTGTCTTCATGTCTGTTACGACCCAAGAGCCATTTTACGCGGCCTACTCCTGAAAAACGAGAGTACCTATCAAGTTCCAAATCATTTTAATGTATTCACTGGACTGGCGAAATTGTCTTTAGCCATTAAAATATGGCGTCACCACTTTGTAAATAAAATGACGGACGTTTAAAAACCCAATTTTGTGCGATTTTTTGTAAAGTTTTCTCCCAATGTTTAGCACATATTCTTCTATGAAATAACGAACAGCTGTTCAAATCAAGATTATTTCTTCTAGCTGTCACTGATATGTTTACATTGAATGTTGTTTACAAATACCGCAACCATTTCCGATCATGTCTTGAAAGCAAATCCAAACCAATTAAGATTAAAAACGTTTTTCCTTACATAACGGAGTTAATTAATCGCAAGTGCAATAATATGTAGGGTAACAGTAAATGAAAATAGAGATTCTTTGTGTATAAAATTGTTTTTGAGTTTTGATAACCGGGAAATAGACCTTGAATCAGTGTTGTATATTGCTGGGAAACTTACATTTTTTAAATGAGCGTTTTCAGTCGAGACTCGGCACACGACCGACGCGCGTCTACTTGTCTATAGTAAAAA